TTTAATGCAATCTCTAGCCATAAAGATTTCATTTTTCTTTGCACCAAAACAGCCAAATTAAGCTAGCATGACAAAACCATTTTGTCAAATGTTTGGGTAGTAAAGATAACTGGGCTAGTTACCAATAGACACCCCTCAGACCAAATGAACAAAACCCTTAAGTAAACAACTGGCAGACTAAAATAAGTTTTTATCTTGCCTCATATGCTATCTTAATCAAACTAGTAACTGAACCCTCATCTTCAGCTCAACTCTCATGCCCTAGGTCCTTTCCCTCAACTTTACCATATTGAATTGCAGAGAAACATTTCAGTTGCAAAGCCCATAACTTCAATGTGTACAGAAAATTAAAATAAGCTCAACTTTCCCAGCAAATCAAGATAACATTTTGGGAGCAAATCCCCCAAACTCGGATTCTTACAAGGCATTATCTTAGCTGAAAGTTAACTGAAAGCAAAGTACTAGCTGCAGGAAGGCGGGGGGACAAACCAGATTGCTGTTACAGCGATCGAGATCCAAACACTTGACGGCCACAACATCATTGAGAGGGAGATAGATCGCTCTGTAGACAGTAGCGCTGGCGCCATAACCAACCTCTTCAAGAAGCTTATAGTCATCGGGATTTGCCGAGTAGTTCTTCTGAGCACTGATCATGGTCCGCCTCCTTCCCCTCCTCCTCCTCCTCCGCCGCCGGTGGAAAACGGATGAAACCGCCGATCAAAAAAAAACCCACCTGAAAAGCTTTCAGCAGAAATGTCGGAGCAATTTGCGGGTACAGATTTAGATAGAGAGGCGTCTTAGACGGATATATGGACCGGAAGAAGAAGAAGAAAAGCTAAGCTGCTGTATTACAAAGCTCCAAATAATTAGCGGATATAATTAAGATTTTTTTTTGGGTTCATTATTTGAGATTTTCTAAATTACAGGCGATATTTTCTCATACGGGGGAGCGATTTTTACTGACAGTGTTTTTTATCGAGCGGTTGACTGCCATGGACAGACAACAGGGGAGCGCCATCAGGTGGGCGCTAGTGTGAATCCAGGTACGGATCCGTAGACATCTTATCTTCTAAAATCTCCAAATATTCACAATTGAATTATTAAAAATTGGTGTATAATTAAAAAATAAAATTAAAAATTGGTAGATTTGACTAAAATTATTAAAAATTGGTGTATAATTAAAAAATAAAATTTACTCGTATATATTAAGAAACTGCATTAAAAATTCTACAAAACAAGCATTGACAATATTATATTATTTTATTAAATAAATTGATGAAAATGTATTTTAAAAATAGAATTCGTTTAACCTGTGAATAGTAGTTAAGAGTTTTTTTGGAGATAGAGTACGTACTCCGTATAATTTATTTTGAAGTTTTCTTTTGTAAATTAACACTCCAAAAATTCATTTGATTTTAAATGTTACTTTAGTCCGGCTTAGCCTACTTAAGATATAATTACGTGAAATTATCATGTCAGACTGGCTATGCTTTACGATCTACGAAGCGGGGTGTTGTGACAACTTTGTCAACTGCATGCGAGAGAGATGTGGATACTATGGTAGATGTAGGTTGGATAGGATTTCGAACGAAGTTACACGGGAATGAGTACGAATAGAAGTGACACATGTAGAGGATAAATTGCAAGAAGCTAGGTTGATGTGATTTGGGCAACTGAAGGCGAAGCATTGAGGTCATGGTCTCAAGATGTTAGAGGTTTACAATAGGGTGCGGGGTGGGAAAGGATCACAGAGCAGATCTAGGAATAATCAGAAAGAAGTTATTAGAGAAGACTCAAATTTTCTATTCCTTAACAAAGATATAACTTTCGATATCTAGAGATCTAAGTTAGTGGAGGTTGGATAGTCAATTGGATCTTAGGTAATCTCTTTGCTCTTGTGTGTGCTTTCTTTTTCTTGGCTTGATGTGTTTTTGTCTCTTTGAGTTTTTCCACTCTTACTTTGCTTTTTTGGTTGTTGTGTTCATTCTTTGTGTATTTTTTATGTTGTTCGAGCAGAAAGTTCCTTGGAAGCATGTTTTCTACTTTTGAGCAAGGGTAGAGTGTTCGTACGCACGCACTTCCTAGTTCCTCCCCAAACCTTACTTTCGTCGCATTACTACATTGTTGTTATTGTTGTTGTAAGTGTATAATTTACCAACTTATTAAATTTGGAACGATTTTTTTCTTTTTGTATTTTAGAATTTAAATCTCAACTTATTTCTTACTTTTATGTTTTGTATTTTCAGTTTCCATTCCTATCACTTGCGGAGTATTAAACACTCCATTACTCCCAAAATAAATTATCTTGTATGGTTTTCCAAAAACTTTTGTTTACTTTTGGATTTTCATTAATTATTTAATAAAATAAAATATTTTTGTCGCTTCTGATTTTAAAAAATTTCTATGCAGTTTTTGAATATGTAAGTTATAAACTTATTTCTATACCAATTTCTAAATAAAACAAATTTAAAGCACAAAATTTTATACGTATATTCCAAGAGTGTATTCAATTATATACAATAAATAGGAAGTACTCCCTTCGCCCCCAACAAAAATTCTACATTTTCTTTTTTGTTTCTTCTAAAAAAACGGCTCAATTTCCACTTATGAAAAAAATACAAAACAAGTACATTCTCAAAATGATTCTTTCTAATAAGTGTTTTTTCAAATCAGTCATCAATAATTTTTAATTATCTTCGTAGAACTTTATAATTAAAATTTACTCCTAAATAGTCCTCTGAAGAAAATGTAACTTAAATATCGGTTAAGTGAAACGTATTTTTGTATTTATCATCATCTAAACTTAGAGTAAGTTTTCCAAATAATCATTAAGGTGTATCTGATTCAAATTTTAAAATATTTTGATAGATTTTTAATAATTCATTGATTATGTCAATGATACATTAAATTGTATAGAAATGACCATTTTAAAAATTTGTTTTAACTTTAGATAAAGAAAATACCAAAATATCCTCCAGTTAATTACCATTTAAGTGACATTTATATGAAGGATTACTTGTGAACAGATCTCAATTACTCCGTACAAAGTAAGTTAATTAGAACTTATTGAGGTTTAATTTTGAAACACTCCATTAGAAAAGACTTTTGGAAATTTACTCTTACAAACATGCTTGAATAACTAGTATGGGGAAAAACGAAACCACGGGTCAGAACTGAAATGCACAGTTCATGACAAGTTAGGGACGGGTCCAATATTTCATTTTTTATAATTGGGTGGGTTGAGTCGGTTCATTTATTTAAATGGGTTGTAGTGATTCTGAAATTAAGATTTTTATAGGACCCAGACACAGCTGTTAATTTGTATACTTTAACATTTTACTTATTAAATACTACCTCCGTTCCTGAGTATTTGTCCAGTTTTGACTTTTTTTGATCAACTATTTTCAACCTTTGACCCATAATTAAATAAAATATATATTGTATATTAATTAGATAAAATAATATTTTGAAAATATTTTTGATATAATAATTGTAATAAAACTATTTTTGTATCAATATCTAATATCATTTTTATTTAATTTGAGGTCAAAGTTTACTAATTTTAACCAAAAAAAAGGTCAAAAATGGACAAATACTCTGAGACGGAAGGAATGTATGGTTACATGTAAATACAATATCAAGTATATCTAGAGCATAAATTATACTCCGGCTAATAACATATAGTAGCCATTACTCCTTCAAAAAAAATATAGTAGCCATTACACTAAAAATTTAATTATCTATTCTAACCCATAAAGTCAATAAGCTGTATCATTTTATTTCTATCTACCGGCCAGTGACGCATAAACGCTATGCATCAATTATACTTCATCCATCCCTAAAACCATTTCATATTTTGATTTTTAGGAAGAAAAATTATAGACATTTAACCAAGAGTAAATGACGATAATTGATAAAATTGAGTAGGGGTTTGTAAGTATAGAATAGGTTTGGGATATGTTAGGTTAAATTTTAAAAAACAAGGACATTTAGGTCAAAGAAAACCTTTTTTAGAATAAGTGAAAAATGAAAAAAATTTAAGAACGCAGTGAGTATTACATGATACATTAATACAAAAATAAGCTTGTATTTAGAAAAATATATGCATTTGGTTGGTCATGCTTCATCATCATCATCATCATCATCAAACATTGCTGCATCATCATCATAAGTGGGTTTTATATATAGAATTATAAGCTTGGCGATTAGGAAGACCGATTATGCTTTTGCCTTCTCCCAGCAGATAGTTTTGAATCATTTACGGAGTATAATTTGTATGCTTCCAAGATGGATTTCAATCATGTATGCTCGATTTGAACATGACACACAGAATTGACTCATTTCAAACAAGCCAAGTTAGAACCGATTACAATTAAGATTTATCGAGGACCCATCCCGTAAATATTTAAACAAAAGCCTCTAAAAATAACACTGCGATTGACATCACGAATGACAATTGTATGTAAATTTATGCACACGCAACGATAATTGTCTGTGAATTGTGCATTCACATGTGATTATTGCCTTTGTGTATAAATTCACAAACAGTTATCATCCATAATGTCAACTGCTGTACCGTGCATGGAGTTATTTTAGTACTACTTTTGAATCTGTGTGGTTATGTTTTTTTCATAATGAGATTATTTAAATTACAAAAACGTTAGAAACCCACCAAGTTTGACACCAAGTGTTTTACAAACAATGATTGTTTGTGCCTAACAAACAAATGACTGAACATATCCGAAATACTTGGGGTCAAACTCATAAGGTCAAATCTAGTGAGTTTCTAGTGTGACTCTTTAAACCAAGTAGTCCATTATTGATGATTGAATCAGCAACCTATACTTGTAAATCTAGTTAGCTTAGTTGTGTGCTACAGCGATGTCATAAATGTGTCATCGCCATCTTCGCGGGAAAGTGTTCGTCGCCATGATCGTCCACATTTGCCCTGAAAACTATTGCAACCGAAATCGCAATTTGGGATGCTAGGGGGCTCAAAACTACAATTAAGCCTAAAGTTACATGAAAAATGAGTAACACAGAGTTCATGATTTCATGCAGCGTTGAGACATGCCCCAAAAGTCAAAGAACTCTACAAATCAATGAAGATAATAAAATACAGAGTAAGAAAGGGGGGGGGGATAATATTTCAAGTTTTTTGACTTGTGAACTCGAAGTATATCTAATTCTATAAACTACACCCATCACTTAAATGTGAAAGGCCAAATAATGTACATGTACTTGAGCCGAGTTCATAAATCAGGCATCTTTCCTACACAAAACTAGCCAGTGATGATACCTGCCAAAACTTCACTCTTTCCCCGAGCATAAATCGTGTAAGCTAAACGAATTGCATCGAGCCACCAGTCTAAGGCTTCCCATGAATCAGCAATCTGACATTCATATGACATCACATCATCAAATATACAAGAAACCCTTCCAAAGATGAAGTAAAATGACTCTACTCATTACAGATTTTACCATACTTCGTATGTTGTTTGACCTAAAAAATAAGGTCACAAAAGAATTTAAACGCTCATCTAAGGTGGAATAAAATTTCTCCCTCCGTCCTAAATATGTGTGCTATCCTATAAACACTCACCCAGCTCCCTCCCCTAATACATGTAGCTTTTAATTCCCTTTCTTAGTTAGCAAGTCCTTGAATTAGTATTTAGTTACTGTATTTTATATTATACTTGGCATTTTACTTTATATTATACGGTGTATGACAAGTGGTTGTTGCAGAGCTGGCCAGTCATTTAGCAATCAGCAAAATTGTAGTGTGGGTATGCTATGTATGTCGGAATGGCTATGAAAGAGGCAAGAAGAATCTCTCTCCAAGGAAAGCCTTACAGTGAGTAAATTCATAAACCTGCAGGAGGGCATTGAGGCAGGGATGCTACTCTAAGAAAAATCAAACAGCTGCTTTTCTGGAAGGGAATGAACAAAGCAGTCAATTGGATTTTATTCTCCCATTTGTCATGCCTGCAAATATGACAACAGCCGTTCGCCAGGTCTCGTACAACCTTTAACAATCCCAGAAGCGGTATGGATTGACAATTTGACATTTCCATGGATTTCAATAATTTCATAGAAGGATTACCTAAATCTCAGGGAAAGGAGGTGATCTGGGTGGTGGTGGACCGGTGGACAGTCTCAGGAATTATGCCCATTTTATTGCTCTCTTGCATCCCTATACAGTTGAAATAGTAGCTCAAGCGTGTACTTGGACAACATCTACAAACTACATGGGCTACCCAGGATCATCATCAATGACAGAGAACATTTTCTTTAGTGCACTCTGGCAAGCCCTATTCTCAATTTTGGGGGTAGAATTTCTACTTTCCTCAGCCTCACCTAGAAACTGATGGACAAACCAAGGTGTTACATAGATGCTTAGAGAATTACATGAGGTGCATGTGTATTCAGTCTCCAAAGGAATGGTCTAAGTGGTTGTTGGTGATTTTATGTAATTGGATTTACTTAGATCGGACGAGAGGTTGAATAGACGTTGTTAACGAGTTAAAAGGTGTGGAGTACACACTCATTTATCATTTCATTGATATTACAAATTCCTTAACGGGTTCAGGAGCAACAGCTCCCTGTGGCAGGGTCCAAGGGGAAGATCCCCTGGATGGGGTTGAGCTGCTAGGTCAGCTCGGATTTTTTTTATTTTGGACATTTTGCTTTGTGAAAATCCTTTGGATTTTAGTAAATAAAGTCAAAATAGGGAAATTGCAAAAGGGCGCATACATTTGAATGTTTAACTTAAATATTCGAATGTTTAGACACAATGCTTAAACAATAACTGCCGCATACATTAGAATGTCTTGGCCAAACATTCGAATGTTTCACGTATAGTTGTATTGTTTCGCCAACTGACGCGTCTGATAAGTTTTAATTCTATATATATAGAGTCCTAGGGTATGTTTGAGAAATACAGGACTTCCATACTCGTTCTAGATACTAACGACTTATCCGATTCTGCTATACTCCGAATTTTTTTATCTGAAAGCGATCACGCAATTCATTAAGTCTTTCAAATCTTCTTCACGTTCATATATATCAAGTTGCTATGCAACGTTGTCTTCTCTCTACAAATTCCAACAATGGCTACCCCTAGCCGAATGGTGGGTATAATACTACCTTCCAATCTTCTCTGCAGCTCACCCCATATGAGGTGCTATATAACCAGCCCACTACACACCATTTACCTGCAGAATCAAGAAATAAAAGAATTTGACAAGACACTGCAAAGGAGGGAACTGATGATCAAACAGATTCGACAGAACCTACAAAGAGCTCAGGTGAGAATGAAACAATTGGCTGATAGGGAAAGGTCTGACAGGGTTTTCAAATTTGGAGAATGGGCATGGTTGAAACTTCACCCTTATAAGAAAACGAGTGTACAGTATAGAAGCAACAATAAACATGGCCCGAAACACTCTGGTCCCTTGGAGATTGTGGACAAGGATGATCCAGTAGCATAAAAGCTTAACCTGCCTGAAATGGTTTGGATTCACCCCACAGTGCATGTTTCACAGCTCAAGGTACTTGTGGGTACCCTACCTGCACAACCACACATTCCAAAATGACTTCATGGAGCCAACATATCAACGACCAGAAACCCTCACAAGGTTTTAGCCAGAAGGACTGTAAAGAGGAATGCTGCAGTGGTACAATACTTTGCGCAAGGGGGAAAGAGAACACCGGGGAGCAGGAAAACTGGGAGTTTGCAGATGCTATCCACCAGAAGTAGCCAACGTTTCAGCCTTGAGGTCAGGGCTCATTCAAGGAAAGAGCATTCATACAGCTTTTGTTTTACTTTCTTAGTCAGCAGGTCCTTGTATTAGTTATTACTACAGGTATATTATATTGGGCATTTTACTTTATATTATATGAATAGTTGTTGCTGAGCTGGCCAGTCAGTTAGCAATCAGCAGAACTGTAGTGTGGGTGTGATATGTATGCTAGATCGGCTATGGAAGAAGAAAGAAGATTTTTATGTTCAATCCTCTCTCTCTCTCATTATATCCCCAATTAAACCCTAATACTCTTCTGATTCTCTAAATTAAATAAAGTATCTGCAGCCTGCAGTTTCTCATCTAACGTGACGGTGTTTAGATAGTAGCTGCATCATCCCCCAATTCCCCCACCAGAGTTAGAAACGCAACCCAAGCAAAAAACAAAAGTGGGAAGGAAAGTGTAATAAACAGTACCATGTAGACAGGTCCATGAATTGTGTTAATGCAAAGACCCGCCCCAGGTGGTAGTGTTAGATCAGCACATGCTGACACGGAGACAATATCTGGCACATCAACTTTGATTGCTTGCCTGCTAGAATTCGTGCTATCCACGGGATTTGAGGACAGACTTCGTCTTTGATCAACTTTACTAATCTGTAGAAAACAAGGTATTAGAACATAATTAGGTGTCGGATTCCTGCAAGTTAAGCAGCCGAGACTGAAATTGTACTAACAGATTTAAAACGATTTTTTACTAATTGTGATGATGGGAATGGAATAATCATGTTTTTCAAAGAGCTTTTCATGTCGGGAACAACTACTGCACGCATGGCTGTAAGGGTTTCAACAAAGTTGGGGCTTGCATTTTGAGAACTCATGAGTCAATACACAATAATTAATGCTTGTAACCCTGTGGGGTAATTGAGTTCACAATTATGACAATTATTGAAGATAAAAGCTTATACCTCGTGTAAGCCTTCATGATTCAAAACAAATTGAGAACGCTTCCAATCACTGTGTGGCGCAAGTGGATTTCCAGCAGGAGGTGCAGCAAGATATCCAACCTTAAGATACGGTAGAGGTAGCTGGAAACACGGGGATGACCCAGTTAGAACTAGTAACAAACGATTCCACTGCCAGGAAAGACCAAACCAAACTATACCTCATCCTAGGTAATTGGATTTGACCAATGATAAACCAAATGTGAATATATATTAGATTACATCTTATGAATCAGAGAGAGAATATGTCTCTGTTGAGATGGCAGGCTTTGATTACCTTAAACATCGAAACTGAAGTTCCTACAAACAGAATGAATTATAATTGGGAAAATGTGATGATTTCTTCATTTAAAAAAACACTACTTGAAAACAAATTATCATTATCAGCTTTCATATTATTTAGAAAATGAAGGACGTAGCTCAAGGAGAACCAAGAAAGATAAAAATGAATTTTCTCTGCTCGCGTTCTCAGCAACTATAATCACCGCAATGGCATAACGTTATAAATATGTGCCTACACTTACTACATACCATGGAACGGACGAGTTTCAGAGCGCTTGTGTAAACCTGTAAAATAAAATAGTAAAACATCACTTGACACTAATATGACATAAAAACTTATTAGCATTCTGCAAATCCTAGTTAATTTCAGATGATACAAGAAATGAAATGTAGTCACATGAATCCTTTCATATTTATCATTTAATTAGCATAATCAGGCACACAACAAAATCATTTTAGGTCAAAACAGGTACTTTGCTAGCAGTAACAGAAGGACCAAATTCTTCATACTTCATAGTGACAGCAAACAAGAGTATGCAGTATGATTTCCATTTGGAACTCTAAAAGTGATGCATTACATAGTAATTTGGTTTGAGTGCATGTGCTGCAGCAATATAAATTGCAGACTGACTGTACAACTCATTTGCGGGAACATCCTTAGAACTTATGGCTCCTCCTGTTCTAGACATATCCTCTGCTAGTCCATACTGCAACAGGTGGGGCAAAAAGATGTAATCAGTACTATATCAATTTTTTATGAAGTTTTTTTTTGCCTTCTTGAAGTAAATGAAGTTAGAAAATACATAAAGCTCTACAGAACAACAAATGAAAGTTTGGAAGTCACCAGAACAGTCCCCAGGTTGTAAATTGCCCTATGGAAATCAAACTGGAGTTGAATCGCTGCACGAAACTGCATTTAACACCTTTAATATCATCGCCAGCAGCGACTACAGAAAATGAATATTCAAAATTTGCAAGATCTAGAATGGCTTCAAAGCTTATACTTTGCAATGGCCACCTATATTGAAGAAACAGCAGGCGTACCTTGCTGATTGCAGTCTTCACTATTATTTGCTTTTCTCGAGCAGGGACAATTGAACTAAGTTCCTTCAATAGAATCATTTTATAAACACATTATCATAATGTGAGATTCAAAACTACAGATACCATGCTTAGAGCCAGGAAAACAATAACTATTAAATAACAACTGTGAGGATTCACTGCTCAAAAAGACTGAACACAAATTGAAGAATATTAATGATGCTTGTTGACTCAGTAGAGATACCTGCAGAGCGAGTCCCCAGTTGTTGAGTGCCTAGATTAAAAAGTTATGTAAGAATGAGCAATACTTTGGGGGAAAAAGAGATCAAAAGGCAGCATTAACCAGCTAAAAAGGGGTGCATGACGACTAGTGATGTCTGGTAACTATCAAAAGTGCAAGTGCACAAGAAAGAATGAGATGACAATTCTACATGTTACAAGAAGTAAAATAACATTAGAAATGATAATAACAAGGGTCTGAGCAATATGAAAAATAGTAACTGGCCCTAGGTAGAAAGAACCTGCAAATATGACATGTAGATAATAACTATGTCATGTAACATGGGCTAGTTGGGCTGAGGTAGTAGATGTTACCTGTGGACTGTTCCAATTGAGCTTGACAGCATTTTCATAGTTTTTAGTTGCCTGAAAAAGTGAAGGTGCAAGGATTAAAAATTGTTCAACTTTGTTTAAAGCTTTTCTGTTGATCAAAAAGTTTAAAACTAATCATAATGTTAACTGAACACAAAAGTACAGAAGACTAACAAGGTGTGCACCACAACTAGTTCGATCATCTGTGTGGACGATGTATAGAAAACTCACCACTAAACTGATAAAATTAAAAAATCTCAATATCATACAGTTTAAATATCCTTTTGAACCGATGGTCTTTCGGAAGCTACCTGTCCATCCTCTACGGGTAAAGGTAAGATCTGCGTAATTGTGCATCCTATCCTCTCCAAACCCCACTTGTGAGAATAAACTAGGGTTTCTTGTTGTATACAGTTTAAATGATTTGTTTTTTTCTAGAGAGGTTAAAAAATTCGACAATACATGGTTATGGCATAGGAGGAATTGTTTTAAAAATACAAAGAAACAACTAAAGAATACACTTGCCCCACGGAACTGACGGAAGTGAAGAAGATTATCTGAACGACATGACGCACGATGAGGTTGCCCGATGAATTGGGGAGACAAGCTAATTTTGTGCTTTTCTCCCTCGTGGTTGCCCCATCCCTTACTGTTCAAAAAAAGAATACACAATCATGCCATAATAGAGAAAAAAATCTGAACCTGTTTCCAAAATTCTTCTGCTTCTTTTGTTCGACCACGCATTTTTGCTCTATCCGAGATTGCTATAGCCCAATTATAATAAGCCTGCACTCAGAATGAAAACATTTTAGATGCATCATGATTACGGATTAAAAATTAAAGCAATGAGCTTTCAAGAGTGTTCAATAAAATAGTTACCAAACAAAAGTACAGTGACAAAGTGGTAATGGCACTCTAAATGAAGATCACTTACATCATTGAGGGTAGGGCAAAGTCGTGTTGCCTCCTCATATTTTTTACATGCCTCTTCTAACAAAGCATCTTTTGAAGGGGAACTGGAATCTGGGTCAACATTGTCTGCACTTTCCTGCAGGATAAAGAAACGTGAAGTGGGTAATCTAAAACAGATGGTGAATAAGATTATCCCAGGATCAATTGTGCAAGATAAGAGCTTATATCCAAGCAATTAAGAAGTTAGGTTTACATGCATTAACACAAACAATATGAGTGTAAATAATTTTCAATCAGAGTGTATTCAAGCATCCATATTGTGCTTCAAGTAATCAAGGAGTAGAATTAGTGTGATTCAATAGGTGTTTATCTAAGCAATTAGATGTCAAGACAAGATGATTTGCATTGCAAAATTCCAATTCGTAGCACATTACATTTTTGTATTGGAATCTTTACGGAATTCTATATGACTTTGAGACAATTGAATTGAAAATTTACAGAACCACAGATTTGAACGCGTATGTTTAAAGATGGGAGAGAAGGGAACAAAAGAAGAATGCCTTGAAAAAAACACTTCAATGAACATAAGTACAGTACAGTTGTATTAAACTACACCTGAAGAACTAGTGCCCAATTGTAAAGTGCATCATAATCTTCTGGATTTCGGTCTAGTGCACTTGCATACCTGCAGCAAAGCCAGAAAAATTGTTCATGAAATACTCTATAATGGTTTTCAGCAATTCAAATTTCAAGAAGTGCTCCATTGATCATCTAAGCAAGAAATAATAGAAAGACAAAAAAGCATAAATAAATAAATGAAAAGAAAAGGAACTTAACTGAAATGCATTGCGAAATAATGCATTCGCAGGGTCACAGTTTATTTATCTGTGAAATGACTAAGTTTAAAGTACACTCAATGTAAATTCACTCCTCTTAATGACCTTAAAACTTCAGACTTGAAAGGATATTGAGTTTATTGTGCAGTATAAGATATTATGTGTAGAGAAACTTGCATGGCTCTGAATTTCTACTGTATAAATTTGAGACATGAATATGTAAACTAGTAAACCTAATCTTTGTGTTAGATGAGCTTCTTACCTCCGAGCAGCATATGTAAGGATTCGTTGGCGAGACCGGCCCTCCTCATCAGCACCTGTGACATTGTTGATCAGCTCCAAGGCAGCATCAGTGTGATCAGTTCGACTGCTTTCCTGACTGCAGTATGAGAGGAGGGAATGTAAGGGGATCAAATGAATAAAAGATGAAGTGATAAATGCCTGCTTTTGCAACAAAAAAGGTACACATTCCACTACTAGAAGACCTCAAAGGGATTTTATAAGTCACAAAACTCTAATCAACAAGATATCTGTCAAACATGAAAATACATGATGCATAAGGTGGAACAATATTAATGGTTAATCACAAAGATAAGTTTCTTTCGCCAGTTAACTATACTAGGAAATGTAACGGAAGCATTACAATATTAAAATTGAATATCAAACGGATTCAAAATAAATCAAGTCTGAATTAAAATTCTATCCAGTTGATATGATACATAAGTTCACAGGAACCAACCGCATCAAGAGACAGAGAGAATTTAAAACCTGTAAGGAGTGTCAGCTTCGCGCGTTTCGGAATCTTCACCTCCATTCCTCAATTCATTCAACAATTCTCTCATCGTGAAAGTTCGGCTACCTTCATCTTTTCGAAGTCCAGGAATGTTCTCGGCTCCATTAGATTGGACAGCACGATCTTCAGAGTCATTGGAGTTGGGATCGGAACCATTCGCTGGTTCATTCGACTGGATCGATAAATTGGAAGGCTCCAAATTGGCTGGTTCAACTTTTCCAGGTATCCCATTGTCTTTTGCCCCGGGAGATTCCGGATCCTCCGCACCAGCTGGTGGAGATCCCGTTGGTTGAGTAGTGGCGTCGTCCGACTCCGGCTGCAGGACTGATGGTGCTGCCGGTTTCAAATCAATGTCAAGTGGCGGAGACGGCGGTGTTCCCGGCGATCCATTTTTTGATTCAAGTTGGTCCACGGTTGAAGACATGGCGAAAAACGGGATATAGTTATGCTGCCCTGAGCTAAAAGTTCTAAAATGAAATAGTGATGGGGGTTTCCTAGACAGTGTAATGTGCAGGCTAAAATGAACTATGAGTCTATTTCAAGAAAATCACAAAAAATAACTAATATTCTCTTGTAAAAACTGAACAATGTTTTGTGTATCAAAATTTAAAAAGCACGTAATATTTATTACCGAAAACTATTGAAACAGATAACACCTAAGTGACGTAGCTGAGTTACATCACATTTTGGGTATCTTAACTGATAGAATGATAACTCTATCAGCTTCATAAAAGTCTAACGTGAAGCCCGTTAGTGGAGTATGAATTGGAGTAAAATCGGCTCTTTCTAGACCCTAGACTTTGAGCGTATTCAATATTCATATACATTTTGTTAACCAAGCTCGTGATATCCACCAATGTTTTGGATATGATGAGGTCTTGGTGTCCACCTTGATCACTATAGCATCCCAGTGTGGACTCTCATACTCGATCAAATATATTTGCATTTATGAAGACTAGTGGTTTCGTCTTCATCTTCTTCTCATCCAGAGGACTGGTGTACACCTTGTTTACCCTTAGCTCTTGGGCCACTTCTTTCTACTAGTGGTGGGTTCTCTACCAATGTTGTCACCTACAATGTAATTACATTTGTGGTGCCTCTTTCTGCGCTAAAGGTCTTTATGCAGTCTTCATCAGTCTTTCGTACCAAATGATGTTTCCCCCTGCTATTATTGGGTTCCTCGACGTTGGCCACTTGGTCCTCTTTCTTTTACCACACCCGAGAGCCCCCGGGTGCTCTTGCGTGTCATGGTTCTTGACAAACTTCTTCAAGTGACCACGTCGATTAGCTTCTCCAGCTCGTTCTTCTACTTGGAGGTTTTTTCCTTGCCTCCCCCGAGGTTCTGGTCCTTGGACTCTTTGTCGTTCTTGTCATTCAATGTAACATATCGCTTTACCCTTAAAATGGCCTCCTATTAGCATTCTGAGGGCAATGTCACCATGTTAGTGCGAAGAGGTCCTTTCGACAACGTCGCCATGAAAATAGCCAGGCAGAATTTGTCATCCGCACCTTTTACCTAGCGAGTCTCCTTCCTCAAACATGCAAGACAAGCCTTAATAGGTTCTCTATTCCTTTGGTTGTAGCAAATAAGTGTAGTGCTCTTAAATTGGGCCAACGGTTTTGTGTAAAATACTCTTAGAAATTGCTGCCAAAATCACCCCACTTAGTGATCCTTCCTTGGGGGGATATGCAAGAACCAATCAGCTACTTTCATGTCCACTATTTGAAGGAAATATCTGCATATAAGCTCATCTAAAGCATCCACCAAGATCATATTGGTAAAATGACTAGCCATATGATCCTCGGGTCAGATTCACCATCATACCTCTTCACGGGTGGCACCTTCAACCCCGCATAGGTATGGAACGCCAAAAACTTGGCAGAACAAGGAGTCTATGTCCTAGTTATGAACATCTGACCTCTTGCAACATTAATCTTTGTCTCCATCTTCTGATGTGGTTGGTGAATGTCTCGGATCTTGGTAGTTTTATGCTCTAGTTTCAGTCAATAAAGGTATTTTATAGTTTTCGTAAGGCGACCTTGGGTGGTAACAATCTTTGGATACAAAATTTTTATTTTCTATTGCGATATCCAAGCGATGTTACCCTACACGATGGAGCATATATGCATCCTGAGTTCTCGGTGGCAAGGGGTGTTGGTAAATTCAGGAGGGACAATAAAGCTGTGAAGCAACGTTAGAGAATCGGTATACAAAGAACATGAAGAACGTCTCGATAGGGTTAAAGAATCATGTATAAACACTTTCAAATTAAAGTTATTTTGGCGTATACCAAAATAATTTGATAGGATATGACATAAGTAATCTAGAATGAGTACAGAAGTTTGTGTGTTTCAAAACATACTATATGCCTTGTATTTATAGACAAATATCTAAATGGAAATATTTATGGCGGTTATAAAAGAACTCAACTTTTCAAATAACACTCGAATGTTTGCACTCAACCATTGAAATGTTTATGGCGGTTAATAATGAACAGCTACTTTTGCAATTTTGTGTGAATCGTGGCATCTTATCACGAAACATTCGAATATTTAGGATCAAACAATCAAAGATATTGGACAATTTTACAAAAGGTGCTAGAGACAAACATTACATTGGAATGTACATTACTTTAAACTTCATTTACAAAAGTCCAAAGGATTTTCATTAAACAATAATATCCAAAATAAACCCTCGCCGGGACTCTGCACCATTGACCGCGCTACCTGGGGTTGCCGCCACCGGACGCTGTAATGGAGTTTGCAATATTGTTGAATGAGCATGCATTTCGCACCTCTGAGCTTGTTAACAATATAATTTAAAAATCTCATCCATTCTAAGTAAATCATAATTAAATAAAATAACCGGTGATACTAAAATCACCAATAAGGGGCATTCAGATCCTCTTGAACAAGTGGAAAGGATGGCCCAAGAGCCAATCTAGCCTCTCCCCTAGTGTGGATAGCAACATTACAATTTTTTTCATCGGATTTTCAACCTAGTTGGGCTCAACAGCCACAGCTCCTGCACTCAGAGTTTGACTAGAAGATTAGGCAGTCTCCGTGGTAACAATTCTTCTTTCATAGTTTCATGTTTTAGGACCAACCATAGCTCTCTCACATATTTTACTCACAAAGCTCTCAATGAAAGTACCAAATGATAGATTTTAACTAACAAGAAATATTAATCAAAAATTACATTGATCCCAAGTTGACTCAAGTATTCTATGTTTGATTGAACATGCCTTCCTCTAGGAAGAATGATCCCTTTATACATGACATTTGTGGCAATGAACATGGTTGAAGAAACGCTGATCATGGGTGGAACGACTCTATTCATGGCGAAACATTCTACTCACAATTGCCTCACACTAATTACATAATTCTAGCGTGTAATTAGACTAGGTTACTTTTTTAGAGGTTAGGGACCTACCTGCCCACTAGCATCCTTTACAATACATCGATCTGTCACCATCGGGCCACTTATATGGCCTCATTTTTCATAAGCTTGGTCGAAGTTTCTTATTACGTTTGAGTTATTAGACCTATCAAATATTCAAATAATTATTTCACAGACCCAATATCCATTAGAAATGTTTAGACTTAAATGTATTATATTCTTCTTCTAATCTCATATAGAAATTTTGAATTTTCTTGGACATAAAGAACCACTAAAAGTTCTTGAATGTGGACTTAGTTTCCAAATTAATTAAATCTAAATAGTTATAAAAAAAGAAACATTTACAATTTATTTATATCTCTGAGCAATGATATCAATATGACATCTAAGCATACCACTTTGAAAAATCATGTCGGCTATTAGCTTAGACATGTCAAATGCACTTGCTAAAGCTCTCATCTTTGTTCATTCATTGTTTAGCTTTGCTCCAAATTATAGTTGGAATCTTTTGGATATTTGAAAGTCTAAGGATCTTTTTTTTCCAAATGCCTTGATGAACTCTTAACTCTCTATTCTCTAGTGACTGGACTCTTTGCAAAAACTAAAAAGGTAGATATTGGTAGAATTCATTTATTACCCCGCATGGAGAATTGATCTATAGTCAATAGGAAGGAGGAGACAGAGAAAAGAACAATTTTATTTTAGTTTAAATACACTTAAATAGTGTATGGTAAATACTTTAGGTACACTAACTCTTTTTGAGTTTGGATGGTCTTTCAAGTTTTATTTTAAGTAGCACCCAAATTGATATTTTAAGTAGCCTCCATTTAGCTTTTGACTATTGTATGTAATGTACAATGAGTAATGCTACTTAAATACCACATGGGTGATATTGGGAATGACATCATCGGTAAAGTTATTTTACAAATAGTATTAATGTCTCTCAATACAAATAATATCACTTTCTCTTAGTACAAATCTTAAGCAAAACCAACTTTGAAGTGATGTCATTTGGAATGATGTCACTGTAGCCGTGACACAAAAAATGTTAGCTTTTTCTTAGAGCAACTCCAACTCCAAAGACAATAGGTCATGACTTCCAAATTTACCTTCTTTTTTTCAAGTATTTTGCATTCCAAAAGTAAATGAGATGAAGGGGGAAAATACCTTCTTTCAATTTGGATATATATATATATCAATACCTTCCCAAAAGTGAGAAGGTAAAAGCAAGCTAACTTTCAATTTTGCCTTCCCTTTATTTTTATTCTAATATTTTGCATTCTAAAGATAAAGACAAATGGAAAGCAAAAGCACTTCCAATTTGAAGAGGTATCAATACCTCTTCAATTTTGCCTTTTCAAATTTACATTTTCTTCATTGGAGCTGATCATTTTTTTGAGGTAAATTAAGAAAATACCTCCTCATTTTGAGGAGGGAGCATTATTCATGTTATTGTACTCCATTTGTACTGCATATGGTACTTGTACTTCCTATTTATTAATGCAAGTGTATTAAGGTCTACTACTTTTTCAAAAGTGTATTATTCGCCATTAAACGAGCCAAGTCAAATGCAAAATATAACTGAAATTAGAAGGGAGTACTATGGAAAGACCCATCTCTATGGGATGGAAGGGAGTATTTCAGAAAGACAGTAAGAATGCTTATGAGGCCAATTTATACAGTCAGACAAAGAAATGGCTATCGTATCTTAAACATGACCAAATACACAGCAATCAGCACAGCAGCGGCACCAATTTTCATACATTATTAACCTTGCACCTTAACAGTTCACTAAGAATGCCTTAACTATAACTAGTTTGAAAATCTGTGCAGTTATATATTAAAGCAAGGCAACAATTCAAATTAGACAGTGCAAGTAGATGTGACTACGGTACATTTAACAAGATAATGGCAACCGTAGAGCTTAGGCTTAAGTACTGAACTCAACTCTTGAACGTCACCGGGCTATACAGAGCAGGTCATGTATACGTTATGCTTTGTTTTGAACCAGCAAAAGAGAATGCCTAAATCTTGTCATGCAGGGTAACGACTAAGTCATGGGCATCATCCAAAAGCCGCCAAACGTCCAAATGCCCAG